AGTTTGAGTTAAGTAATAAAGCTGATAGATAACTCACAAGTTGAAAGTGGAAATAAATCTCCTTGTTAATTTAAGATATAGTCATACTAAATATACTAAACATCTCAGCAGTATTTGTTTCCTTTAAACCTTACCAATGGATTTTAAAATTCATATGTAAGACTAAAGAGATGAAAATATCAAATGATATTTTGGAAAATAGGGTAAACATTAAAAAGAAACTAATAATTAAGGTAGAACTAATTGATTTAAATATTTTTAAGTGAATGAGACAAAGCTAAGGTTTAGAAATACATTTTATGACATATTAGAATCCAATTATGTATAAAACAAATTATTTTTAAAGTACTAAAAAAAACCCACTTATATTTAATTATGGCAAGGAACTACAATACAAATTCTTGGTGGATTAAGGAGATAATCAGAAGGCCAAATCAAAGAAAAATTGGGAAATTTAAATATTAGGTTCCTTTGAGAGGTAATGAGAGCATGACCTGGTGGTATAGTGGTTATGCATGGGGATGCTAACCTAACCACAAGGTATGCAGTTTGAAAGCACCAGTCACTGGGAGAAATAGGAGGCTTTCCACTCCCATAAACAGTCTCAGAAATCTACAAGGGCAGCTCTACCCGATCTACTGGGTTGTTATGAGTCAGAATTGACTTGATGGCAGAGAGTTTGGGCTTTTGGTAAGAGTGGTAATAATTTTACTTGCTCTGAAGAAAAAACACAAAAAAATATCACCACCAGAATTAGACAAACATGAAAAACATTCTCAAATGGCCAACTGAAAGTTTAAGAAGCATTTGTTTCAATATTGTCTACATGACAGCATAAAGCTCAGGCACATCAAAGTTACATATGCCGAGTATCATACAGAAGAACATTTTAAAGCTCCTTAGGATGGCATTATAAAGAAATTATCACATGGATTTGTGATAAGACATGATGGAGGGCAAATCACCAAAGGATCCCTCACTGACATCAAGTCAATCCTGGCTCACAGTGCCCGATAGGACAGCTCTGTGGGCTTCTGAAAGGGCAACTCTTTACAGGAGTAGATGACCTTGCCTGTCTTCTGTGGAGCGGCTGGTGGCTTTGAACTGCACACCTTGCAGCTACCTGTATGACAAGTATCTACTTGAGTGACATAAAAGGCAATATACATCAGGGAGGATAAGCATAAAGCAATCAAGACACTGGGAGAGCACAAGAATTAAAGGAAGCACCACATAAAATCACAGAATTTCCTTCTAACTTTTCTACATCAAACAATTAAGAACTTAAAGTATGCACCACAAGCTACAAATTAACATGGCTTATGAATTTTAGGTCTAGTAATACTACTTTAATCATATCTAACAAAAAAGTCACTAAGGAGATAAAAAGCATCACACAACTTAAATTATTCTAGTTTTTTGCCTATGAAACTCTCCAGGGGGATTAAAGAATTTCATTTCTAGAGTAAGTCTCATGCAGTTTGAGTTAAGTAATAAAGCTGATAGATAACTCACAAGTTGAAAGTGGAAATAAATCTCCTTGTTAATTTAAGATATAGTCATACTAAATATATGGAAAGTGGAAAGAAAATGTTTTGGAAATGATGGCAACATATGTACAAATGTGCTTGATACAATTGATGCATGGATTGTTATAAGGGCCCCTAATAAAATTATTTATTAAAGTAAAATAAAAATGTTTTAAATGGAAACTGAATATCACAAAAAGAATTAAAAGCCACAATGATAAATACTATGACATACACAATCTTGCAAAAATAGTAATAAAAATAATCTATGAGTGGATACATAGACAGATAATGAAGCTAAACAGATGGTAGAAAGTCAAAGGGGACTAAAATCCCATAAATATATAACAGTTTGACAGAGGGTGTTCAGTATACACATTTCTAGGTGATACAAATATATCCATGAATATAGTAGAGCATATAGGGGGATACGTGAAGGATAGTTCTTATCCTTAACTAACACCCCGAGGGAGTGAGTAAGTAGGCATGAGGGCTCAGGATCATAGTCTCAGGGGACACTGAGGTCCACTGGCATAACAGTCCACAAAGACAATGTTCTACATCCAACTTTGGAGAGTAGCAGCATCTAAAGGCATGTGAGTGGCCATAGAAGGGGTAACTGTTGGTCTCTTCCTATTTGGAGCAAAGAAGAATAAAGAAAATCAAAGTGCATGGAACCAATTAGTCCAGAAAATGAATGGATCAACCAATTAGTCCAGAAAACGAATGGATCGTGTGATCTCCAGGCCTCCGGGACTCTGAGACTAGAAGAAATAGATGGGACTCATTAACGACTGCTGACGGCTTTGAAAGGGATAACAACAGGAGGTCCTGGGTAAAGTGGGAGGAAAAAGTGCACAAAACAAAAGCTATTAAAAAAAGAAAAGAAAGAACAGGCTTATTGAACTGATAGAGAATGGTTGACCTCCAAAGACGAAGGCCCTCTAATACCCTTCAAAACTGGAACTGAACACACCCCACCTTGACTTATCTTTCAGCCAAGCAATAGACAGGGCTATGAGGGGGAACAATAACACCAGGGAGATCCGTACTTATAACCGTCAACCATATGAGATCAGAAGGGCAGCATTTGCTTAGGGATAAGATTTAAAGGCAGGAAGGGATAGGGAAGAAAATGAAGGGAAACGGAAAACAGAAAGGAAGTGGAAAGGGTACTGTCACACAGTGGAGACTGCAATTAAGCCAAGAGCACTTAAGGATGAACATCAAAGATGATAGCCTTTATTATGGATTACAACTCAATGTATACAAGGCCAAATCCTTATAACCGGATCAATAGAAAACATCATGATCACTGGAGAAAAGACGAAAGGTGTTGACAGATTTCATTTTACTTGGATCCACAGTCAATGCTCGTTGGAGCAGCAGTCAAGAAATCAAATGACATAGTGCACTGATAAAACCTGCTGCACCAGAACTAGTTAGAGGGTCAAATAGCAAGGAGGTCACTTTGACGACGAAGGTGGGCCTGACCTAAGCCACGGTCTTTCACCTCTGCATGTGAAAGACCAGGAAGGCTGGAAAGAACTGACTTGAGGGCGCCTGACAACATAACCCCCATCGATGGCACCAAAGAGAATGCCCAGGACTCGCTGGATGGAAAATCAATCTGCACTTCAAATTTTCACCCAAATCACAATGGAAAATTGAAATTAAGAAATGTCCTACACCATTGGTTAGGGACGTGAGCAGCCTTGCCTTCAGACAGGGTGCATTGAAAAGTGGATGACTGCAGACACAGGTTAAAATTTAACATCTCATAATAATTTGTTTCCCTTTTGACCCATTTTTAATTCGTTCTAGTTTCTATTATCGTCTGCTTTCACTTTGATTGAGGTTTTGCTATGTTCCATTTTACAGTCATCATTGTTTTTTCCCTTTGACTTTATATGAAGTCTGGGATAGGAAAACTGATAGAGACAGTAAATAGATTGATAGTTCCTTAGGGTTATGGCATGAAAGGTTCGGCTAATGGGGAGCTAACAATAATGGGGGCACAAATGAAGAAAATGCTCTAAAACTGACTGTGATGATGACAGCCTATCTCTTTATACTATATTTAACCCATGGAATAATATGATATGTAAATTATATCAATAAAACTATAAAAAATAACTAAAGCTGGCAGACATTGAAAACAATAATAACACTACTACTCTTTAAAAAGAATATTGGTATAATCCTCTAATATCATAATTATAAAAGTAATCAACTAAGACCCAAACATTTCATGTATCTAGTGTATTATTTATTTAACCTGTTCTTTTTGAATCACTGAGTTAATCATGTGTTCAGTTTTTTTCAACATATAAAGGATAAGATGAATTTAGAAAATAAAGAAATTATGAAAATACTGGCAAAATAAATAAAAGTATGCCTTTAATATCTGAACCTATCTTCCCAACTTAAGAGTATTTAAGACATATATAACTTGCATCTGTATTTATTCCAACTCATAGTTGACCTTTACATGACAGAGTGGAAGTGTCCCCTTCGGTTTCCACGGCTGTAAATTGGTGTGGGAACAGAAAGCCTCATCTTTCTTCCTTGGAGCACATAGAGGGTTTGAATTGCTGACCTTGCAGTGAGCAGCCACACACATAATGCTCTAGAGAAGGACATGATGCTCATACAGAGGAGGGTCAGAGAAACCGAGGCAGACCCTCAACAAGGTGGAAGGACACAGTGGTTACAACAGTGGCGAAGCATAACAGCAACTGTGAGGATGGCACGGTGCCGTGGTACACAGGATTACTATGAGTTGGAATCATTGTGATGGCGCCTAACATCTACATTTACAATCCTCTTAAACTGGAAACACAGGGAGTCCAGGACAGATGAACCCCTCAGGACCAGTGGTGAGAGTAGTGATACCGGGAGGGTGGTGGAGGGAAGGTGAGGGAGAAAGGGGGAACAGATTACAAGGATCTACATATAACCTCCTCCCTGGGGGATGGACAGCAGAGAAGTGAGTGAGGGGAGACGTTGGATGGTGTAAGATATGACAAGATAATAAGAATTTATAAATTATCAAGGGTTCATGGGGGGAGGGGGAAGCAGAGAAGGAGGGGAAAAATGAGGAGCTGATACCAAGAGCTCATGTAGAAAGCAAATGTTTTGAGAATGATGATGGCAACATATGTACAAATGTGCTGGACACAATGGATGGATGTATGCATTGTGATAAGAGTTGTATGAGCACCCAATAAAATGATTTTTAAAAAAACCAAAAAACAACAAAAACAAGATCAGTAACATTGATTTCATTTTTACTTACTGTGTGGTATCTATATCTGCATCAGGCTTGGTGCTCAATTGTTCCAGACAGTGTATAAAAATCTACATAAAAATAAATTTTAAAATGTTATACATGAGGCATTTAGATACATGAGAAAAATGTAAACACTCACTGCCATTGAGTGCATCCTGATTCAAGGTGGCCCCAGAGCACAGGGTAGAACGGCCTTGTGTGTCTTGGAGACGGTAACTCTTCATGGGCATAGAAAGCCCCGTCTTTCTCCCATGGAGCACCATGTGATTTCGAACTGTGTACCAGATAGTCTGATGGTAGCCCAATGTTTAACCACTATGCCACTAGGGCTCCTCATAAACATGAGGGGACTTGAAAACGTTGGTGCAAAAATTCCATTATCTTCAAAATCCACTTTTCCAAGAACTCTTAAAAGCTGTCTCTCTCTCTCTCTCTCTCTCTCTCATTCCTCCTCCCTCCCCTCTTCAGTAAGATGGGGTGGCGTAAATGTTTGCATTATATCCTGCTTACTGGTTAATTTTACCTGCATGATATGGATGCTTAGTTGGCAAACTTCCTCCTGTATTTTAGGTTGCTGAAAGACCTGTAGAAAAAAATGTATTAAAATGTTTAGACTTGGCTAAAAATAGGACAATTTTTGGTTCTGATGCTAGATATAAAAAAGTTAAACACTATGAACCATGTGCTCACTGAGGAAAATCTTACTCTGAAAGGAAACAAGAATTCAGAATTGGCCTGAAGGCAGTGTTCTACCTGTAGCTATTTTAAGATGATTAGCAATAGCCAGTTCTCTCTCTCTCTCCATACATATATATATATATATATGTGTGTGTGTTAAACAAGGCAAAAGTACTCTCCGTAGCCCCCTTAAATTTTAATTTTCACCAGCCGATCTTGGAACTACAACCAAGAAGCCTGTGTAGCTCAACTCAACCAAGGAAGCAAACATCAAGAAAACCTCTTGCGCTGACATGACCGCTTTCAAGAGTGTCTTGAGCAGTTGTGCACCAGGGATTGCCTGGAGAGAACACTCACGCTGGCTTCTCCTGGCTTGCACTCCAGGACTCCGTTCAGTGCTTGCAGGGAGTGCACGATGCATTGCTCAAACTGATAGGGCTGCAGGAAGAACCAACATAAGCACATGTTGACACACAGCAAATAGAATCAAGGATGGTCAAATTCTAAATGTCCAGATGTCTGGACTGGGGCACAAATAAGTGATGAAATAATGTCCTAGTCCTGATTTATTTAGAAATGCACTTATTTTCTTTTGTTGCTGAGACGGTCCGTAGCACAATATATTTCGATTGGACACGTTCTCCATGTACAACTGAACTACACCGGTTGCATCCTTCAACTTGTGCAACCATCCTCGCCCACCCTTTCTGAAAGGTTTTCCGTCCATTAACATAAACTCACTGCCAACCCGCCAACACCCTCTCACCCCTTTTTTCTACGTAATCCTCCAGGATGCTGCAGTTGCTTTGTCCCATGGAGTTCTTTAAAAAGAATTCTTTACAACTGAAGCTAAATTATTGTTTGGGTTTGAGGACCTTTCAGGGGAAATTTAAAGTTTACAGATGATCGCATAGCAATCGTTCCAAGGGTTCTTCAAGCCTCCATGATTCCAGAAAGCCTTATTTCCAAGAGAGTTTGAAATTCTGTTCGGCATTTCCCTTTTTGATCAGCATTTTCCCACACAATCTTTGATTAAAATGTTCAGTAATATTAGCCAGGCCCCGTCCAGCTTTTCTGGTCTCCTGACAAAGGAGGCAGCTGTTCGCGAAGGCAATTTGTCTCATGTTATATTAATTCTCCTATTCTTGACTCTTTACCTGCCTCTGGTACGAAGAGAGATAAAGTCCGACAGTACCTTAAGGGCCACTTATAAGAAGCTTCTGTGACTCTAAAACCTACACAACAAAGTAGGAGGTAGAATATAAACACTAAACACATTATCACGCCAATTTTCTGTGATGTCCTAAAACACCATTACCCTAACCTTCAGGCCAAGAAATCAAATCCCTTGAAGTGTTTAATTTTACATAAGCAGTCTCCAGAAATACTTTTCTGGCTTTTGTTATTGCTGTAAATATATCTGTCAACAGAACAGCTCTGGCCAATTCAATGTTTTACAAGTATACAATTTCTTGATAGCAATTGCACTAATCAGCTGTGCAACTCACTCTAACCACAAGTTAAATGTGGAAACTCAGTACTCCAAGAGCAGTAACTCCAACCTATCCTCCCCCCTCCTGCCCCGGTCACCACTAATAAACTCTGCTCTTTATATCATTAATTGTTCCTGTCTATTTCAATAGGTGAGGTCATACAATATTTGTCCTTGATAGCTTGGTGGCATCAAGATCTGGTCTTCACATGTGTTTTGCACTTAGTCCTTAGAAATGGGTGACTCTTAAGGTTCCAAGTACACCTATTTTAATAAGATCAGAAGTCAGGTATCACTAATTTTTCTTAAAAATTTTACTTCTCTGATAGGTATATAACACATACGATACATCTACAGTGAGTTTGTATTTTCAAAGTAATTTCTTTGAGCGGAAGGCACGTGGTATAGCCTTGGTTGCGGGACAGCTGAGTGGCGACCCACGCCAATCCTGAGATTATTTCCCTTTCACTGACTTGGCTTTCCCCTTGCAGAAAAGCGAGGCTGACCAAGCCATGGGCGAACCGAGATTTCAATCCCTTCTACATCTCAATGTTAATAATAATGATCTGGAGAAAGTGCTTTCTTTACTTACTTACTCTTTTCTATATGCATTAAGACAGAGCATGAAACTTGGAAACGTGTTCAACAAAGAGCATTTCAAGAACACCTTGAATGTATCCTAATGCATAGCTTCTACTGTGTCTGAGGTTTGGCTTGGTCCAAGGCACTGTTCTAGGTAAGGCGGTACTGGAGGGAATTAGACAGAGGTCTCATGAAGCATACACTCGCAAACAGAACTCACTGCCATTGAGTCTATGCGGACTCTTAGTGACCCTATACGGCAAAGTAGAACTGCGACTTTTGTTAACTTTGATAACATACTTTATTTAGTTTACTCCCTTTGTTTTACTGTGAGCAGCCGGAGGCGAAGAAAACAGGCGGGTTTGAGCTGCACTTTCAATTGCAATTGCAATGTGGGACCCATTCATTTATTCTCTCTCTGTTCACAATTACCCCATTACCCAAATGCACTGGTGAGGGATGTAAATGAAAAGCATGGCTAGAAATCACCCCCTAACAGCTTTATTCTAAAGAACCCCATAAAGGAGAAAGTGACAACCAAAGTTCTAGAAGGAACTGGGACCGCACACAGAGAAAGAAGCATCAGTGGGGAGTCAAGAATGCCGATCAATTTTGTCTTCAGGAGAGGCCTCCTTCTGGGCCAAGTACTCAGAATCTTCCGCCCCAGATTTCAATCTCAGGAGAGCTCAGGAATGTCACTCCAGGATCGTTCCTGCTCGCAGTGGGATCTGGGGAGAAGGCTAACCCCAAGACAATAAGTCACACAGGAAGTAATTGGTTCCATTCTGCCTGGATTCCCAAAGTGGTAAAATCAAAATCAACTCCATGCACACAGCAATCCAAGGACCAAAGGACACTACATAGGAACTTCTAGTGAGAACTTAAAGGGATAAATATTTTAAAAATCTAATGCCAGGGTCACAACAAAGGGACTTCAAACTCACTAATGTAAATATATATGGAGGGAGGGACACCTTGCCTAGACCCACCACCACAAAATTCAGTAATTATTAGAAATTGAGACTATTTTTTGGAGGGGGGTAAGGATAAAATAATAATACAAAGATAAAAATACAAATAGTGAATAAGAAATTAAAGACTACTGTGAATACTTAAAGGACAGGGAAGACATTTTTGTCATGGAACTAGCAAGAAATACACCTAGAAGAATTTCAAGTTGGATCAAGAGAGAGGCCAACAGACCGAGTATCAAGTTCAATCCAGTATAATCATGATTACAATGATCCCTGACGGATAGTAAAGCTGTGTGAGACCCTTGCCTATGACTAGTGGGGGCCTCCCAGTGGCTGAATCTGACTAGATACTGTGCAGATGGGTTTGGGGAGCCCGCTGTCCTCCACAGCCTTCTAAGAATTGGGTGTTTGCAATTTAGGCTGGTACTTTCCCCTTTGTCATATTTGAACTTCACTATTGTCATCTTTGGATCACACGAGCTGGTGTGCTTTTACCATGTGGACTTAGTTGACTCTTAAGACTGCACCTCTTTATGGGAGTAGAAAGCCTCATCTTTCTCCCACAGAGCACCTGGTGGTTTTAAACTGCTGACCTTGTGGTTTGCGGCCTATAACCCACAACGCTGCCATAGCTCCTCTTCATGAAATATAAGCTACCATAGAAGCAAGTACATCTAAATGTTAAAAAATATATAAACACATAAAAGTCCTGAAAAGTATCTAGATAAAACAGTGGCAAGCTAGAGAAAGCAGCACGAGGCAAACAAGTGGGAACTGGTAGTAGATGGCAGCGGAGGGGGTATCCTTTAAAGAAGACAGCCGGGAGGACTTCCTTGGGATCAAGGTGGGTGACACGTAAGCTGAGAGCAGGAACTCCTGAGAAACCAGCTGTGGAAAGAAAAGGGGGGCAGGGCAGGTTTGTGAGGGGAGGACTGCCTACAGGCAGGGCCTGAGGCAGAAGAGGATCTGCTGTGGTTAAGGGAAATCGGAGACCCACTTCATACAGCCACTGTGGGTGAGCACCAGGGTGTCACTGGATGAAGTGTGGAGTTTGGATTTTATTCCAAGGGTACTGTCTTCCATGACTCCAAGGTCAGTTCCATGCCCGCCCCCCCCAAAAAATGCAGAGCAAGTTATCCCCTCAATTCCATGCAAAAAATGCAAAGCAATTTCTAAAGGGATTCATGAAAGATTGAAGAGAACTGTATAACAATGAAAAACAGACCATCTTATTTTTCTTTCAGGAACTCAAAATTCTTGAAAACAGAGTCACAGCTCACAGCCATTTTGCTACCGCATTTTCGATCCACCAGGGGGCGTCATAAAGACTACATAAAGAAAGTAGAACAAACCCAGTGCCCTCAATTCAATGATGACTCAGACTCTATGGATGGAAGAGAACTGCCCCTCTGAGTTTCAGGAGGCCATAACTCCTTATGAGAGTAGGAAGCCTTATCTTTTTCCCAGGGAGCAACAGATGGTTTCAAACTGATGACCTTGTGGTTAGCAGCGCAATGTGTAACCCACCATGCCACCACAGCTCCCCAAAGTAGAACAAGAACTAAAATAAAACAAATTCAGGTTTATGGGCTAAAACCAAGTGCACAAGAGTCAAAATGTTGGCTTTATAAACACACACACATACACCTGTTTCTGAAGGTATGAAACTTTAAGATAATAAAAATAATGATGACTATTGAATGCAGCAGCGTTCAGCTGCGGGCATTCAGATGTTGATGTGTGTGGCTATTTAGATTATCAAATTTTGAACTCAATGTTTATTAGATTGCTGTAATCAAACTTGTGTAATAGATATAGAACACCAGAGAGATCAATTAGAAGTTTCAATTAAATTGAGTAGATGAAAGTGTAAACACTTGCTGTTTTTCTCTCCACAGTAGGAAGGAGCATAGAGCCGTGTGACGAGAGGTGAATCACCCAATAGCTGGCTACAAGAAGTTATCACAAATCATGCCAGTTCTCTGAAAGAAGAGTGTTCTCAGAATTATCCACATGGAAAAAGGTTTTGAAGACGAGAAGAAAACAGGATGCCTCAAAATAAACTGTTTCAGGGCACAGTAAATTAAGTCCAAGTTACAGATAATGCTGGAAGAGCAGTCACAGTGTGGTCTAATTTAGTTTTCATGTCTTCATTTCACCTGACAGAGATCATTTCTCCATCACACAAAGGGGAAAGAGCAAAGAAACCCCACTGCAAACAAATGGGATTAGCACTAAGAAAATCTAAATTTTAGGTATGTTTTTTTTTTTCATTTCAAAATTTTAAAAGGTATGTTGTTTAAATGCTAAGCACTTTGCAGATGTTAATTTGGCTAAAACACTCAAAGTTGGAAAACAAACTTGTGATCTTAAGAGTTGATTCACCTTTT